ACACTACTCAACATGCTTTGTATAAATATGAGTTAAAATATAAGAGATAGTTGACTGCAAATGCCAGATCTGACTGGCTACTTGAGATTAAATACTGTAATGATTTCAATTCGTGATGATATCTTATAGCTGTAAAGTTGTCATTCAATTTATCATCCTCATCAGATGAAAATTTCAGTTATATATCTGTCATTATAAGAGTCTCTGCAGGATTCATCTTATTCATTTCAAAATCTTCAAGAATCTTCTCAATATAACAGCGCTGTATAATCACTAGATTGTCATTTCTCTGGCATTTAATCTTCATTCTCAGGTAAGATTTATTCTGTTTGACTTCTTTTATCTTGAATCTTTTTCTGATTTTTATTAAAATTCACTTAATTTCACTCTCTTCAGGTCCTGTGATTCAACAGTCATTGACATGTAGTATCAAGAATAACTTATGAATTGAATGATAAAGAAATTCACTGTTATAAGATAAGATCTTGAATTCTAGATTCATTAAGTGTTCTGTTACAAGGAAATATTATGTTCTTACTGCCTGTTTCATTCTGTATAAGCTCTGATATACAAGCTCTATCAATTCATCATAACTATGCTTAATCTCTGTGAGTAGTTGTATAAATATCATCTCATTCTGAGGCAATACCTCATTTAAAAATGCAGATACATAGTCAATTGATCTGACTTTTCAATCTCTTGCTGTTGATATAGTGAATAAGCTCTGTGACATAGGTTCAGACATCACTGCTGTATATAACTTATTATAATGAATATCTTATTATTGTAGGAATTCTCTAATCACTTAATGAGCTTTAAAGTAGATAATTTCATTCTTATTATTCAATTTCTGATCATACACTCATTTGTCTGTAAGAATGTTCATTTTCAGAGTCTTCTCAACAACAATATATATCTTCTTTTATTCAAATATCTTAATCTTCTTTTTCATTGCCTCATGACAATAATCTCAGTCTGAGCTTCTCTTGACTTCTGTCAGTGTAGTTGATCAGACTGTCAGAATACTTAGAACAGAATCATTCTTATTAATGAAATCTTCAGACTCTTCATTTATGACAAGCTGTGTCTTATTATCTAGAAGATAGGTCAGTTTCAGTACACTGTTCATATCATTATCAGTAAGCATTTTTAAAATATCAGATTTATTCTTTATGAGTCTTCTTAGAAGACAGTGTTATCATCTGTTTATAATATCAAGAACATTCAATTTCTCTGACAGTTTGACTGCTTCTCTAATGACATTCACTGATGCTTCTTCTATTATCAATTCTTCATTAAAAATAACATTTCTTACAATCTCAAGCTTTCAAGTTATAGAGTCTCAGATACAATATTGATGCAGTTCTTAATATTCAACTAATTATTATTACTTATCATCAGTTCTATTCACAAGCTTATTAATAATCTTCAGATTCTTCTTATACATCTTACATTCTCATCTGTGTATTCAATGAGCAGAAGATTGAACATCTGTTCAAGCTTTAAAAGAGAATAATGAGGTTTTCCTTTGACATCTGTAAATCTTTATTGATGTTAAGAATATGTTGATTATCATAATCACAGCTTGAATAGCTTCATCTCAAAGTTCTCTTACAAGTCTGCTGTTAAATAGTAAGCTTCTTGTCTTTTTATCTATAATATAATTGACATATTCTGCAGGGCTGTTGAACTGTGATGTATCAGATATAGTGATCTCATATGTAATTTCTTTTCACTGACAGTAGATCTTTAATTCATCACTTTTAAATTCATCTTCATCATCTCAGTGTAAGGTCTCAATTCAATATTGAGTAGTGATCTCAATTCTGTCAATAAAGATCATTAAATGTGCAGTGATCTTACTCTTTGATATTATAAGAATAATTCATCTGTAGTGTGTAACATCATCTGTAATACTCATTTAATAATTAGCTTTCTTATGAGTAGAGAGATTGATTTCATTATATAGTATACAGTCATTATCTACAAGATTTATGAAGAATCTTATCACAGGTTTGACAGTTCTTATCATTGATATAAATGTTGAACATGTTATTTTTACCTGTATACAGATCTTACAGAATGGTAAAGCCCTGTCACTCTTAATTCTCATTCTCAGTCATGAATCTGCTGCTAATTTAGTGATATCTGCAGAATTGAGATGATCAAGCTTTTGATATTATTATAACATTATGTGTTTAACAATTTTGATATTCTTATTAAGTAATACTAGTAGAAGATCTTTTTTCTCTACAGCCTGTAGAATTTTCACAGATTCAAATTCATTATTTAGTATTATAAATTGAATCAAGTTTCTAATTATTGATTATTTTTTCAGAATATAGATGTTCTTATCACTTAATTTAACAGTAAAACTCAACATCTTATCAGAAGAGGTTAGCAAGATTGAATAAGTATTCTCATAGATCAGTTGCTTATATGTATAGCTTTGATATACAAGCTTCTTAAAACTCATAAGATTAATCTTCAGCTTGAGAATGTAGTAAATGTTCTGCAGCAGCAGATTTACTTCTTTAACTGATATATTCATCTTCTCTATAGCTGTTGCAGAAGCTGTTAATCTGTCAGTTATCTTTAATATAATATTAATCTTCTACAGCACTATTGATATGAGATTCTTATAAGATGTAGTATAAGCACTGAATTCAGAGTTCAGAACTCAGATATCTTTGTCAGTTTAATCAGTAGAATAGACTGTTTCTGTTGTATGAAATACTTACTCAATGATATTATGAACTAACACTGAGTCTATTTCATTCTTATTCTTATTCTTATCATAACTAGTAGAGTGTTTTTCAGAAAATTTTAATCAGTAATCTATTTAAATGTAATCAATCTTCTGACAATGATAATATATTTTAATAGTATTATTATTCTTTCTATCTGACTTGATGAAATCTTTATTCTTATTCTCAGAAATGTTCTTCTTCTTCTTATTTCTTTTATTCTTTCTGTTAAAATCTTGAGTATTATTTACAGAGATCTTTTCATCAGAGATGAGAGATTTATCATTAGTTAATAATTATAGAAGAATATCTCAATATAATTTCATAAAATCATCTTTAAGTATTTTAGTGTTCTTATTCTTCTCTATTACATTCATTTAATTCTTTATAAAAGATAATCAATCATTACTAATCTCTGTAAGAAGTCTGTTGAAAAACATGAAATTTTTAATATTATATCTTAATCAGATATAATCAGTTCTGATTGTAATTAAATATTTGATAAATATATAATCAGAACTATTTGATTTTAATATTATCTTAATTAATTCTTGAAATAGATGAGTTCTGTAAATAGCAGATCTTTCAGTGAAATTATTCTCTATAATAGATTATAGAGAATAAGCAGATAGTTAAGACTTCTTAAGTATAATAAAGTAAGATTTAATCTGTGAGATAATTGCAGATTATATATAAATATATAGCTAGATATTTCATTCTAATTAAAAATATTATATATTTATACTGATATTCTTATCAGAATTAATCTGCTTATTATTAAAAATATCATCTATTTTAGATTATCTTACTATAAGCAGAATCTCTTTCTTTCATATAAAATAATTTATAGAGTCAGTAAGTATAACAGACTTCTTTATAAATCTTACTTAATTTCTGAATTTATTAAGAATCTTTATTAATGTAGATATTCTATTCTTCTGTTGAAGATAGTTTATTAAATCTATATTAAACTCTTTATTTTTATCTCTATCTGTCTTCATTTACTTAACTTTATGCTGAAGTCTTATAATTTCTAATCTTATATAAGTCTTCTCACTTATAAAGTTATTATTATTCTGATTATTTAAGCTATCTGTATTATCTAATATCTCACTGATAATATCTTCAACTGAGTCTTTGTATATATTAAACTTATCAGACTATTTCTCTGCAATGATTTTATTCAGCTTAAATATCTCAGAAGCTGTCTTCTGATTTGTTATTAATATTGACAGTAATCTGTAATCTTGCATTTACTACTCTAATATTTTCTCATTTCTCTGTTTTGAAGACATATATTCTTTTATTAAGTCAGATGTCTCTTCAGATCTTAGATTAATCATGAGTTCAATCACTTAATAAATTATCTAGACATGCTTGTAATGACATATGAAGATGTCAATTGCATGTTATATTACAGCTTTTCATTGCATAGAGAGCTTTATAATCTCTTGAAGAATAATATTATTATGTTGTATTCTAACTACACGAGTTACACTGAATGAATAGGTTGAGGTGACACGTGACTAGAGTAGATGTAGTAATTATCAACATATTAAACTCTTCATAGATAGCTTTATTAATAAAACCTTCAACTATTTTACAGTGTATTTATATGATTTAAACAAGATAATGATGATTAATACACATTTAAAAATTAAAAATGATGATAACTGAAAATATTTCAGTTGTGATAATATGCTGAGACTAGACTGACTGTTAGAATCATGAATTTCATGTTTAATTTCATTTAATCTGATCTTATATATTTCTTGATGTGAATTCTACTAAGACTGACTATTAAAAAAACAGATAAAGTGACTATATATCAGATCTTAAAATGAAATCATGACTTGAAAAAAATGAGAAAATGATCTCATTTAATCTCATTTAGTCTCATTCTTGACATAAAGTTACTATTTTTAGACATTTTAAGGTTTTTTTTAGACTATTTTTAATTTTTTAAAAAGTAACACTTTTTGATAACACTTAAATAAGATTTAAAGTCATTTAAAGCAATAAAAATAATTTAAATTGAGAAGTGAAAATCATGATCTCATTTGAAAAATGTGATAAGAGTAGACAGTAAGTCTCACTGAGACAGTATAAGACTACTATCTAATGTTAAAACTGTGTAATGGGATCAGTTGAATTGGTAATGAGACTATCAAAAAATCTGGTCCTGGTCCCAGACACGGTCACACGGTCAGTCTAGCTGAGACACACTTACTAATGATAGAAAGTTGCGTTTGACATAATTATAACTCAAGAGAGTGTTTTGAAGATTGAAGAAGTCTTGAGTTATATATAAAATATCAATCAATGAGAATCAAAAACTGATTAAAACTATTCAGTTTCAATCACAAAAACATGCAGTATCTCAGTGTAGTGTATATGAAATTATTGAATATACTGTTTATATACACTCTAGATTTACAGAAAATACTTCTTAATACAACTAACTTGATTTTCTTTGTGATTTTTGTGACATTTGACTATAGAGTTATCAAATAGTAAAGAGGTGTATGAGTTGGTGGTGGATTACGTTACATGTTTTTCTAACCGCTCAATCCACCGCCGTCAACTCCTCCGGCGTATCGGGCTGCCTACTCCAATGCGCCCTCCTCACTCCATCCAACAGCTCCAACTTCTTAAACACCCGCTTCACAGTCGGATACACCCCCAAATCCATCCCAACCCTCTGCGCCCCCCACACCGCGGGCACAAGACACACATCCGCCAACGACAGCGCATCACCAACCGCATATGTGCCCGCGCAAGATTGCATTAGCGCCTCTAGCGCCGCGAAGCCAGTCTCCATCAGCTCTCGGGCCCAGAGGGTATTATCAGCGCCGAGGGCCTTGACGCGCTGCTGGATGCGCATGTTTGTGACGGGCTGGATGTCGCAGGCAATGATGTTTACGAGGGTGCGGACGCGGGCACGCTTTTCCGGGCAGGAAGCGGGGGGGAGGAGGGGGGTTCCGTTGTCTAGATTCGTATTTGTGGCATTTGTAGAGAGTTCTTCGAGGTATTCGAGTGCGGCGATGGATTGGCCGATGGATAGGAGTTGAGTTTGGTTACTGGTGGTAGCCTCGGTGGCGGGCGAGGGGTCCTCTGTGGTGACGATAAGGACAGGGACGGAGGCGGAGGGGTTGAGGGCGCGGTGAGTTGGGGAGAGCTGTTCACCCTTGAGGAGATTGATGAAGGTGGTTGTATAGGGGATTTGTTTAAGGTTAAGAGCGATGCGGAGGCGGGCGGCGCAAGACGAGCGGAAGTAGGAGTATAGATGGAATTGATAGGTTCTGGTTAGAGGTTTCTCGGAGGCCATGCTGAGCGGTCGCGAGAGATTGTTGTGGTATGGGCTTTGGCCGATGATGATATTGTTATGATGAAGAAGAAGCAGAAGAAGATGATGATGATGACGATGATGGCGGTGTTGATATGACCTTATTATCCTGAAAGGTGGGAAGCGGGGAACATTTTGCAGGTTAAGGGATGCCTATACGGATAAGGCGCGATTTTGCAACCAACTGTACTCAGTATAGTATGGTCATGTGCATACCACAAACGAGGTTGTATTGCCAATGCTCATCCTGTACTTGTAAGTTATTATTGTGCGTGGTGAGCACTGATTGATTTCCCAAGCATCAAAGTAATTTGACATAATTGCACAGAAAACACTTGAAAACTTAGTGCTGAGTTGTATAAGACATTGAAGATATCTCTTAATATCATTCAACCTCTTTCATTCTTCCATTGTATGTAAGAAACATTGATAAATTTGAGCGATCAGTGATACTTTGGAAAATAGTGTTTTCTGGAGCCGCGAGCAAAATGTGCTAGCTTGAGCATGGCTTGAGTGTTCTGTTCTCTGCAGCAGCATATACTCCGCATAGTGACTGTAGTAACTAAGGGTAAATAACGACGTCATCCCGGGGTCTTTTAACTAGAAATGAGTAGAAGTGTGGGGCTGGGCCCCTGGTGGGGAGGGGTGTGGTGGGGGTTAGTAGTAGGCGGAATCAATCCAGGGGCTACGAGGTGTAAATTCTTAAGGAAAATATGTAAAGCTTATTGCTGAGAATTCTATTAAATAGCCGCTCTGAAAAACAAGAGGGTGTATTATCAAATTTGAATTTCTGAATTTCCTATCATTCTTGTTTCAATCTATAGTTACTCTTTTCATAGTATAGTAAACAGATCATTATTATCATCTGAACTTGTAGCTAATTATGCCATCATGTGTATAAACTACAAACAACAAAAGGGGAATCACAAATCCTGTGGTTTTGCAGATCAGGCGCGAGCTGCTGAGCCGGTCCGATCAACGGAGGGGGCGAAGAGCCAGAAGGCAAACAAGAAAAAAAGAAAAAAAGAAAACAGTGAGTCCAAGAGCCAATCTGACCTAGGAGGAGAAAGCAAAAAAGCATGAAAATGGGGGAATTCAGGAATTCAGCAAATAAAAAACCCCGTCGTCAAGCCCACAATTGTCCCCACTCCAATCCCCAGTGCCGTCCGTCCGAAAGATTTCTTCTGCCCCCTTTTCTGACCATCCTCCCGCGCACGCACTTCATCCGCCAACCGCTGGAAATTCCTCCTCAACATTTTCCCACTCTTCTCTACAAGTCTCAACTTCCTGTGTAGCTGCTCCATCGTCTCCCCGAGCACGCGGCCGTGATCGAAATCCTTCCTTCGGAGTGCCTCATCTAGTTCCTCGCACAGCGCAGCAAGTTCACCGGCGTACCGTTGCCTCTCCTCTCTGATTTCCGCATACAGTTCTCGACCCACCATCGTGTCGCCCAGCCGCTGGCCCTGTATCACCATTTCCCGCTGGATGTCCAGGGGCTGGATTGGCTTTTGGCTGCGCAGGAGGCAGGCTTTGATAATCTCCTGCGCCGATCGCTTGCTGCCGTCATGACGCATCATCATGCCGCCGTGGCTGAGTATACTGCTCCAGTAGCGGTCGCGTAGTTGCTTCTCGAGAGCTACACCCTCATCGAACGTGTGTAGTTTCCCCCACATATTCGTTGTCATGATTGCGTGGGATAAATTGCCAGCGCCACAGAGTTTTTTCATCATACGTAGGTTGCGCAGGGCGGGGCCGTCCATGCGCCTGCTTGTTATGTCATGTAGGTATATGATGCCGGCTAGCTTGATGTTGTTGCTATAGAGGAGACACAGGAAGTTGGCGATGGAGCTGAGAGTGGTGGTATCGCTTCTGTTTGCTTTGTTGAAGCCTGGGGTGTCTACGAGGATCACTCGTGTTTTCTGGTCAATTTGATAGGGGTAGATTTCGATGTTGTCTGTGCCTGTGCATGTCGAATTAGAGAGGAATAATCTTATCTGGCGGATCGAACGATCGAACTGGTCGGGATAGGCGATGGATTTGATATGATAAGGGAGTTAAACATACATCCTGTGAGGCTGTGACCGATAGGAGCACTCTGCCCGTCGGCGAACAGAGAGATAAAACTGCTCTTCAACGACCCTGTGTGTCCCATCATAAGAATCACAAGGTCGCCCTGTCTGATGGTTTTATGTGCATGTTAGTCGATGATAGAATAAAACCAGGCAGCCTCCACCACATAGAACTTACCGGAGTCTGACTTCCTCCTGCCTTTGGCGCGGCGCCCAGTATGCATTTTCATTTTGCCCTGCATTCTGACTGTGAGATGGTATCCGCTCCGGCCGCCTGGAAGGTCTGCGATTATCAACAGTTCCCAACTGGGTGCTGTTCGAGAACGATTGCGGTTGTTGAGCTTGCGACAACCCCCCCTGGCCTGACGACAGAAGATGATGATATGGTGGAGGCGCGTGAGGAACAGATGGTGCAGGAGAGAGTTGTGATGACCCGACGAAACTGTACGGCGGGGGAGGAGGCTCGTCACTGTTTAACATTGACATGTCGAGGCTTTTACATCCGTTCGCTTTAGTTGATAACTTATAGCTGGCGGTGGGTGGATACTGAAAAGGCTCTGGAAGCTTTTGGGAAATTCACAGGATAGTATTCTTTTGTTTTTTTCCTTTGTTTTTGAAATATCGATCGGTCCACGCCACCAGACACACTCCCTGATGCGGCGCTTCAGCATCCACTGGGTAGCCCTGGTTGCCTCAGCCGGCGACCTTTTGACTTCACCAGTTGATTCAAGTTTGGAAATGAAATGACGTCTCTTTTTCTTTCGTATGGTGGATAACACAAAATGAAAATATTTAAATGTTACAACCCATTCAAGACTAAAGAGAAACAGCAGGATGAGCTGGCATCATGTTGAATGTCACACACACAGTGACAACTTATTAGACAACATTGATAGTCAGTGTGTGGAAGGTGTGAAGCTTGTGTGATTGAAAGGTTGCTAGCTTGCAGGAAGCAGAAAACTTGACCTCGCTAAGTGCGCCACTTGACCTCATTACATAATCATGACCCTGACCTCGCACAATACAGTAATAATCAGTTGGTAATTAACTTTCAATCTTTCAATTCATTCATTTACTCAGCTTATCAATCAATCAAAAAGCATGTATAACTGATTCATAATCAATTAAATAAATAGATAAATTCATATAGAATATAAAGAGATGTTTTACAGAATTTTAAAATATATTAAGATAAAAATATTTAATAATTAATTTTAAATTGATTTTAAATTTATTTTAAATTGATTATTAATTAATTATAGTAATAAAAATAAATTCAATCTATATATTTAAGTAATTAACAATTGATTTGTGATTCAAAGGTTGCTTAAGCCAGTGTACAATTGTGATTCAAAGGTTGCTTAAGCCAGCGTATGATTACAGGCGTACGCCGGCTTCTTATATATTGAATCTTGTATGCTAAATTAATTAGCGGCTGCTAGGGCCTCTTTACATTTGTATGTGTATGCTAGTAGTTTGGAAGCAGCTGTGTTATTATCTGACAGTTATACATTCTTTCAAACCACATTCTTTCTCATCAGATTCAGTCACGCTCATGTGACTATATTATACACTCTAGCTTCATGCAGATTAACTCGCCACTAGTGTTTCATAATCATGTGACCTATTTCTGATTCAGCTAGTGTTCTGCATACACTCTCACAAAGAAACTTTCACTATATTACATCACTTATTCACTAACTTTTCTCATTCTTCAATCATCTTCTTCATCATCATCATCATTGAATGTCACTATTTTATTCAAGATTTCTACTTCTTCTTCTGTTCAACTCTTTTCATCTGTTCATCTATTATATCATACACATTTCTGACAATGACTCTCTGTTCTCATAACAAGTGTTATCATAGTACTCATACCAGGCAGTTTGTTAGCAGTAAGTGTAACATGTTGTGAAATGTACATGGTCAGAACTTGTTTATCTTCTAATGATTGTCAGAATGTACTATTATGAATGACACATCTTCTTCATCTTCTCATACACTCTCTTCACTTTCTCATACACTCTCAATCATTTCTCTTCTCAGCGGGTTTCTGATCATGTTTTCTGGCATGATTTTGCATAGACACAGATGCTGATATGTTTGTTTTTATTCACATAGAATCTTCACACATTGACAGATCCGCATTCATCAATGATAGTGAACCTGATGTTGCATTCTTGATTGAGAACTTGAAGAACATGATAATGAAGGAATTGCTTATATCATATGTGATCAGGTCTTTCACATTCTCTCTTGCCTCTTCTGCTACTTCTTTCTCTGCTGCTTCTCTCTCTGTTCCTTTCTCTGCTGCTTCTCAATCTTCTACACTTGTTCCTGTGTCTGGTTCTTCTGCTCCTGCTATCTCTGTTCCTGCGACCCCTGGTTTTACTGTCTCTGCTTTCATTACTAGCTCTTCCCATTTCAAGGAGATATTATATAGACTTAATGAATCACATCTTTCAGTATGTACACTTCTGCTCTTCTTATCAACTCTCAGAATAATTTATTATATGAAGACAGTGTATAATATAACTATCTGAAGCTCAGTTGCAGATGCTGATTATTACATTCATTTTAAATATTCATGATAAGACAATTATTCATTCATATCAGAGAATCACTTCTTCTCTCAACAGTATCAAGATTATAAGTCTTTTTCTTTTCATCTTTTTAATCTGACACTGATTTTTCTGTTCTTAGAGAAAATCATTATAGGTTTTACTGTGTATGAAGTCATGACATTCACAGATATCAAGAAGCTTTTTACAATCATAAAGTTCAATATCATAGAGACATTCACTCTGATGAATTCCTTCAGAATGATAGATCTGTATCAGCTTATTCTCTAGTGTCTGTCATTCAACTTCATGATGCAGGCAAAAGATATTCATGTTTTCAGAAACAGGAATGTGAATGTCATACTCTTTTATACCTGCAGGTGTGAGGCTCATACATCTTGTCTGAAATGTCATCATGAAAATGAGCTGTTCACACACTGTGTTCTGCTTCCTGCATTTCTCTGTGTCTCTCTCTCTCTTCCTGAGGAGTCTCATGCATGTTGTAATTGTGTGTACAACTCTAAGGCCAGTAGATGTTTATTTGATAACTGTTTTCATTTCTGATTTTGCAATTTTCATACACTAACAATAGTTCTTAGTTGCTCCAGTGTCAGAGACCATTCTCATCAAAGATGATAATGCTGCCAAGACTACCCTCTTTCACTCTCAAGCTTCTCTCATCACTTTCTCTCCCTTCTCTGTGAGAAAGGTTGTGTGCACACTGAGTTATAAGTGTTTGACTCTGAATGACTCCTGCTATTGTTCATCTGGTTCTGCATCTTCTCCTTCTTCTGTTTCTTCCATCTCCACTCTTTCTGCCCCAGCTCCTGGTTCTGCAGGTCTCACACTCTTCTTCAATTTCTCTACATGTACACATATGCATTTCTATATTGACATTTCAGTCAATATTGTGATAAATGACATTAATGTTGTATGCAGAGTGATAGAGAAATCAGAGACATGCACAGCATTGTTACAAGAGCAGCTTGCAACTCTTGAATCTCTTGTGAATCTTGAGTTTTAAGATTTTCTTTGTTTTTGGCATTTTTCAGGTGGCGTGGTGTTGAAAATAGATTAAATGTGTGACATATAAAAATGAATGAGATATGTATGATAACATTTGTCTTTTACAGCTGATTCTTACAGTTAATAATCAATTCATCATTTCTTTTCTTATACTTTTTCTCTATCTGCTAGTCACTACTCTTACACAATCTCTATATGATACAGCATTCAGTGACTAGGTTCAGCAGCTTTCAACTTTTTATGATTCTGTCTCACACATTATACTGTCTCTCTTCATCTGCTCAGACTACTACAGTGAACAGCTCATCAAAACTAACCTTATCTGACCTCTGAGCATTCTCAGGAGTCAAGATGACTTGGTCTCATGTGTTCACGGATGTTTCAGATAGTTCATTCTCTGTGATCTTTATGATTGAACTGATGTAAACAGTTGAATTCAACTCTGAATTTCTTTTTCTTCTGCAATCTGATTCACATGCAAGTCTGTCACTTTGAGATCACTCTTTACTGTGTTACATCTGCTATCTGTGATGTATTATTATACAATCAGCTACAGTCTCATCACTTATTGAAGTATGATATTCACCTGATTTCTTCATTTCTTCCCATTCTTTTCTTATAATCATGGAAAGATCAGAATAAGTGAGATCATCTGGTTCATAAGTGTCTATGATTTCTCTTACTTCATAAGACTTTTCAATTGTAAGTCTCTTCTTTTTCAATACTGATGATAGTGCTGTGAATGATTATAATTTACTCAGGTCTTACATCTTTGCTTTCATAAGTCATGAATCATTGATTAAGTTGTATAAGACTCATCTCTCTGATTCTTTTAATGTGTACATTCTCAGAGAATGTGATTTGAGTATCTTATATGACTCAAATCATCTAGATTGAAACTTCTCAGAATTCTCATTACATACAAGAACTTATATTCTCATCTTGAGACTCAATTTCTTAACAAGTGAGTCTCATATTCTTTTCAATTGAATTGCTCAGTTCAGAAGTAACTCATTAGCTTTTGCACATGTATGCCTGATCTCTTTCAATCTTGGTTCTGCATCTGTGACTGTTGTGTCTGCAACTGCTACTATTGCATCTGTAACTGCTCTCTTCCTCATCTTTTCAGAAGCATTCTCCAGGATGCGCGGGTGCAATCCATACAACAGGTAGAATGATGAATGCTTGGAGACTGCATGCTGTTGAATCCATGTGGTCAATAGCACCTGTCTGAGATATTCATCTCATAGTCTTGTAGGCTTACTCACTAGATATTTCATCAGCATGTTGTCCAAGATTTCATTCAAGTGTTCCACCTTCCCATTCATTTGCGGATGATATGACATTATTCTACAATGTCTTGTCTGTAACTGGCTTACAAAATGCCTCACTGCTTCTTCTACAAGGTTCACACTGTTATCAGTTAGAATCTCACGCGGCATTTCATAGTTGACATAGATCTCATCATGTAGAAACTTCATCATCACCTTCTCTGTCACCTCTGGAACTGCTTTCACAACTGGCCAGTCAGTAGTGTAATCAATAGCAGTGATTATTCATCAATTTCCATTTGACATTCACAGTAATATGTCTATGAGGTTCATCTCTCATCATTTAAACAGTTGTATCATACACTTCATCTGATATTGTACTTCTTCACATTCTAACCCTTTCTTAGATCCTTTCATGATCTGGCAATTCAGGCACTTGTGAGTGTACATCTGAATATTCTCAGCCATGCTTAGTCAGTACACTCTTGATTTAAATACACTCATGAGTTCAGGGCTTTCTAAGTGACTGAATTCTTTGTGCATGTGAGTCATCAAGTCATGTCAAAATGAAGATTCTAGATAGAGAGCTTCTGTGTATTCTAGATTATAGTAAAGCACAATGTCATTTTTCAATTTCCTCAGCTTGAAGTTCAGAAGCATCTCTTCTACTACTTTCACAAGACACTTGTTATCTGACATCTTGTCATTCTTCAAGCAAGAGATTATGATATTCACTCATTCTGATTCCTTGTATTCTCTCAGCACATTTAACATGAATGTCCCTTGTGCCTGATTCATAGAACTCTCACTCATGAAATCAGATCTGTGACTGATTGCATCTGACATCACTGCATCTGATTCTTTTCAGTATTTGATATGAAGATCATACACTTGAAACTCTGAGATTCAACATGCTAAGCATTTGAAAGGTTTTATTGTTAATTATAGATAGACAAGACTTTCATGATCTATGATCACTGTTGTTATATACCTGTTGTCAATATATCTATCCCACAACACCAGTGCATGCTTGATTGTTAGCAATTTCTTTTCATACACTGAGT